AAAGAAATTTCTAAAATATATTCTAAAAATCCTTTAGAAAAATGGAATACTGATAAAGTAAAGGCAAATATAGAATTAACTAATCCAGACACTATTGTTAAAGTCAAACCCATGAAATATAGTGTAGATGACCAAAAAGAATTTAAAGATTAGATAAAAGAATTGCTAGAAGCCAAGTTAATTAGGCCTAGTAAAAGTCCACATAGCAGCCCAGCCTTTATGGTTAGAAAACATAGTGAGATAAAAAGAGGAAAAGCCAGAATGGTGATAAATTACAAAAAATTAAATGAAATTACTAAATTTGATGGATAATACTTGCCAAATAAGGATACCCTTATTAAACAAGTACAAAACAAAAAGATATTTTCAAAATTTGACTGTAAATCAAGGTTTTGGCAAATCATGCTTACAGAAAAAAGTAAACCACTAACTGCATTTAGTACCCCCAATCCTTTAGGACAATACGAATGAAATGTAATGCCATTTGGGTTGAAAAATGCACCATAGATATTCCAGAGGAGAATGGATGAGGTAATCAAACCAATTACTCATTTCTGTATTGCATATGTAGATGATTTACTTATTCATTCAAATAATATTGATGAACATATTGAATATCTTGAGAAATTTTGTTATATTATGAAAAAATATGGTATTACACTTTCTCAAAAGAAAGCTGAGATAACCAGAACAGAGATAGAATTTTTAGGATTATTTATAAAAGAAGGAGAATTGCAATTGCAATCTCATATTAGAGAAAAATTTCAAGAATTTCCTGAAAAAATCAAAGATAAAAAAAATTACAAAGCTTCCTTGGTATATTAAATTATGCTGAAGGATTCATTGAAAATTGTGCCAAATTAAAAAATTATTTTCTTCTAAAGTTGAGAAAAAATATTATGTGGTCTTGGGAAGAACAAGATTGTGAAAATATAAGGAAAATTAAAGAAGAGTTAAAGGTATTGCCCAAACTTGTAATGCCACAAGAAGAAGATTTTTTTATCCTTGAAACTGATGCTTCAGATTATTACTGGAGAGTAGTGTTAAAGGTAAAAAAGAACCATAAAGAGTATAAATGTGAAAAAGATTGTTCTTGTCCTGAGATACTTGCAGGTTATACATCAGGAACATTCAAAGAAGTAGAAACAAGATATGAGACGAATAGAAAAGAACTCATTGCTGTGAAAAGAAGAGTTCAGAAATATGAGGATTATCTATTACCAAAGAAGTTCTTGATTAGAACTGATAATACTCAAGTTAAAGCATTTTTGAAAAATAATGTTGATCCATCTACTACCAATAGATATATTATTAGGATACAAATTTGGTTCTCGTATTTCAAATTTGATATTGAATACATACAAGGTAAAACTAACTTTCTTCCTGATTATCTTAGCAGGGATGGAGCTGGAACAATTAAGGACGAAAGTCCAAATACTTGAGATAAAAATTCCCTATTTGGAAACACAAATTCAAAATATCCAAGATAGCCTTCGATGCAAAAATATAGCCCTTGAGTCAGGAGTTACTTGTACCAAGTCTAGTATCCCTTCGCAGGGACTTGTGAATACTAGTGCTCTCCCCGAGGATAAAGGGAAAGAAAAGAAAGTAATAGTAACCCCTTCACAGGGAAAATTTGAACATATTACTGGTAATAAAGATATTCAAGATATCAAAAGAGAAGGTAGCTCTTCACAGAGCCAAACTCAATCTAAACTTTCTATTGAAAGGATAGATCCAAAAAATATTGTCAAGATATGCCATGAAACAAAAATTCCCAGGAAAAATAACCATGAAGAAGTAACACTCTTTATTGTTATTTTTAATATTTTATCAGACTGGTATCTGGAGATTGGAAAATGGATGAAGACTCTTCGCTATTCAAAATACAACAAGATAAATTTTTATCCAGGAGCACCAGCCAACTGGGTTCGAAATTGTTTTGAGATAGGAAATATACTTTGTATATATCCTAGCAAAGATCTCAAAGAGATAACTCAGCTTCCAGCCAACATTAGGAAAGTTGTTAAAAGATATACTGAAGTCGTCAAGACAATAAATATATATATCAAATTCCATTCAGCAACTATGGAATGGGATCCCGTTCTTGAATATATGCATCCATCGTTTCATGTGATAAAAATGGGACTTACAAATCAACATTTTTTACCAACCAATCAAAAGGTTGTTAAAAATGGATATCAAGATATTCTAAATATGATGCCCTACAGAAGAGCAAAAGGGTACAAAGAGATATTTGAACATGTAACTCAGATAATCACTGAGAAAGAAAAAATATGGGTTTATCTATCTGAAGATTATATTATCTATTCCAATACAAGGATGGCTATCAAGGAAAAAGATATTTGTTATCTAGACCATTTATTATCTGCAATTATTTCCAACCAAGTGCATGGATTAGAAGATATGGCTAAAGAACTATGCAAATTATTCTGGAATTACAGTAATCACCATTGTGAATACTGTGTAGTTGAAGATATGAGCTAAGCATCTCTTAATAGTGAAGAATTCCCTGCAGAATTCTTTGATTCGAAAATGGAAAAGTGATGATGACAAAAGTAGCTCTTTATCACTACTTTAATAAAGAAATTTATTAAAGAAAAACTGTGGCTACTAAAAAACAGAAAATAGTGTAAGAAAAGTCTCCATAATTGTGACTACCCCCACCAATTGTTACAAGTGGCAGACAAACTCAAAAGATAAGGTATCTAATTTTAAAAGGAAAGGTCCACTAGCAAGAAGATAAGGGAAAAATTCGGTGGAAATAAGATGGCCTAGCTACCCAACAAAGAAAGGTGGAAAACACCTGTCAAGATAAGGTTCCTAAAGGCTTCTATAAAAGGAGGCAAGGAGGAAGATATCTCGAAATAACTTATCTCTTAAACACTCTGAAAAAACACATCTTAGAGAGATATCCTTTGTAATCATCTGAGAGAGATCTTTTGTAATCTGTATACACCACTAGTATGTATAAAACTATTAGATAGCTTGAAGATAGAAAAGCGTGTAATAAGGTAATCACTTATGGAGTTCTAAACTTCATAAGGTGAGTACCAAAGGTATGTAAATATAGTTTGTAAGCATGTACAATTTCAGTTTATGAATATCAAAGTAAAGTTTGTTATATTCAACAGAGCTTTCATAAAAGGATTTCGTTAAGTTTCTCATGATTCCTCGGCAGTACAGATAGAGATTTTAAAAGATTTTCAAAACTTTGATTTTGAATGGATGTTTGCCATGTCAAAGTACCCGTCTTTGATGAATGGTTTAGGGGAAAAAAGCAGTTTTCTAACAAAATTTGTAGCACCTTGTGTGTGAGTTATCTTTTAAAATTTCGTTCCAAGTAAGAATTTCATTCTGAAAAGAGTTTGGATAGAGGTGAAAACAGAGACTCTGGATACTGTGAGATAGTGTCTGTGGCAACACGGCTAGTTCTCTAGAGTGAGAAATGCAACCTTAATTGAAAAGCCTTTTGCAGAAGCAGTTGTGGACCCAAATGATTTCAAAAAATATTTTAAATCTTTACTTGATTCAGAAGATTGATTAAGTACATGCAAAGCATCTATAAGAACATACTGAAGGGAAAGCCTGTTTATTTCCACTTGATTACTGTAAGTTATTTACTTGTTTTTACATGCTCATGCTTTAATTATTTTGATGAACAATTCACATGCATCCACTTCCACTACTAATAATGATAATAATCTCATATTATTTTTAGATGAAAAAGATGTTTCTTTTTTACTTAAATTAGATGAAAAATCTGATGATATATTTTCTGTTGGTAAAGAAAAAATTGAAGAAATATATAGAGATATAGATTATAATTGTAGAAATAATATAGGATTTGATTCTGTAGGAACTAGTAGAGAAATAAGAAAGGTAGAAGATATTATAATCAAACATATAAATATACAAGAAGAAATTTCAGAAGGATTAGTTCGAAGATATATAACCAAGAAAGGTCAACATATAATCTTTGAAGAATTATCAAGATACAAAGAATATTTAAAAGTGTTTAAAAGGTTGAAAAATATAGATATAGGTCCTGATTGATAAATCCTTAAAGATATAAGATATATCTTGCAAATAACTTTAATAAGGGCAAAATAGTATTTTTAATTAAAGAGGCCATTGTGGAAAAAGAGAACAATTTTCCAGCCTTTCTAAAAATTACCCCGTTATACAGACCCCCTCTCAATTGGTGGGTCATCATTTTTTATTGCAATTTTTTAATACATGCAGGTCCGACCTGGGGGCCCACCTCATTATGAGAAGCCTATACTGGTAATTTTCACCTAGCAGACCAGCATTTTCCTTGTTAAAATTTTTCTATTCTCTCTTAGAAAAAAATAAAAAGAAATGATGTTTCTAAAATAAGAATTCCATTTTGCTAAGACTTAAAATTCCATCCAAAAGGTTAATCCACCAGAAATAGCAGCCTAATTATCTTATAATCCCAAGACCTTCCTCGTGTAAATCGAGCTTCATTATTAGTGAGGATGCAGCAACTATTGTGTTGGTGTCAATTGGGCAGGTCGAGGCAGCAGCTGAGGCCCAGAATGGCCTGTCCGCCTCTATGAGCATGGCCACCATATTTCAGTCTTATGATCAGGACATTCCAAGGTGATAAACCATGTCAAAGTGCACAAATGCCAATCAAAGTGAATTAAAATCCTATTACTGACAATAGGAGGTTTACTAATAAAATGCCAGGCAACAACAAAAAACTGTTAAAAGACAAATTAAAGAATGATCTTGCTAATCAAATTACACCTTATTAATATCCAACTATAATAAAAAATGGTTTTAAGAATAGAAAACAAAACGGCTCAACCACTCGTATGCGGTCAGGAACTTCCAAGTTAGTCTACGTTGAATATATGGATAAAATCCTAAAGAGAGGCATACTCCTCACCAAATGAAATATGTATTAAAACAATTGTTTCTTCATAAGGAGGAATCAATTTTTTATTTAGTCAAGCAATGTCGAACAAAATATATGAAGTACCTCGAACCGATGGTTCTTGATTATAGCCTTCACTGTCAATCTGAATATCCACATGCGGACCATTGTACCCTCCCCTCCAACGACCACGGAAATTGCGACCTCTGCCTCGTTCCCTACCCCTGGGGTACTCACGATTCCACCCATAACTTCCATCCTCATACTCAGCAGATGAAAAACCATTTCCTGAAACGAAATACGGCATCGGCATATATATTACATACATGTAAGAACATTGAAAATCCATATCCTCGAAGCATATTCAAGCCAACAATAACTTTTCACATCCAAATATTTAGACATACAATTAACAGGCCCGAAAGATTGAAAATAAATGAACGGGTAGGATCATACCATGGTTCCAGGCCGAACCCAAATTCATCCAAAAGGAAAAGAAAAGAAACAGTATATTACTTTCCAGTCTATATAGGTTTTCAAACATTAAGCCCTTGTTTGTTTCTCATTATTTCTAAAATACATTTTTCCCTCTTCTTTTCAACCACACATTCTTCAATAAAATAATAATAAATGCAAATCCAGAACTTTAACCACGCATTCTCCATCAATCTAATATTCCAAAATGCATTCTTAAATGAAAATGGGGGCTCAAACATGCTCTAAAAAAGGCCAACCTCCCCATGTCATGTATGAAAAATTAACCGGGAATACAAGGATGCTTGCTGCATCAAAGATTTAGCTACTTAAGGCAATGGCAACAAGAATTGAGCTATTGGGCCATCTTATTACTATAAAAAAGTTAGCCCAATACAAACTATTGAAATGGGTCAAATAATGAAATGTTAATTAAATGGATCTGAACAACGAATTAAATTAGATAAAATTCTTTTAGTTGCATTAAATGAAATTCTTATTAGTTGGATGCACATAATCAAATTGTTTCTAATTAGCCATATATATATTAGTATAGTCGAGTTTATGGAGTTCTTTTTCCTTTTATTCCTTATTTCCTTAATTGAATCTGAGTTTCATTTTCGATATAATAGTTCCTACTAGTAAGTATTTCTTAATTTCACCAGCTTCTATATCTATCAATTTCAAGTTAAGATTTGTATTTTCTCCTATAATCTAGCTCAAAAAAGTTTTCAGGGTGCAGTGTCTTGGGTTCTATCTAAGTCATGGAAGGGGGAGTAATTAAAAAGGTCGCAGATGCAGGTTCAACTAAATGATTCCGAATGCTTAAAAATTTGCACATATTCCATTTTCCTGGTTCCATAAAATTTATTTATTAAACTCCAAATTCGAATTAACTAAATATAGTTTTTTATACATTAAGTCTGCTGTGATTTTCTAGTAGATTGTTATTTTGTTAACATTTTTATTAGCCATTATTTCCATTGTTAAAATGGTTGCAGGCACAGGTTCAACTAAATGATTCCGAAGGCTTAAAAATTTGCACATGTTACATTTTCCTGGTTCCATAAAATTTATTTATTAAACTCCAAATTCGAATTAAGTAAATTTAGGTTTTTATACATTAAGTTTGTCTCTGGCTTCCTAGTATATTGTTATTTCGTTAACAGTTTTATTAGATATTATTTACATTATAAAAGTATCAAAATTTCAAAATTTCGTGGAATTATATACTATAGATTTATGTCTTGCCCCCAACACAGGCTATTAAACATACTACTCTATGCCTTCTCCTTTTAGAAACATGACATCCCACAATAACTCCACTCTTATTTGTATGAAATTAATGCATATAGCATACGCTTCTGTATATCAATGGTGCTTCAAATCAGAAAAGGATAATAACGAAAATCATCATATCCAAAAGTGGACTCGAGCAGAAAAATCAGTGCCATAGAAAGAAAGTGGCATAGAGTTGGTAGCTCAATGGAATGAAAGCTACCTAAAATACGTGGTTTAAGAAAAAGACATTATAACCCACAAATAAAAGGTTAATAACATGTAAAGAGAAGGATTCTCAGCTCCAACTAAACAGACATCAAATGCATCCAACCCTCAGAATCCCAAACATAATTAACTAGATATCTCATTAAAGCAGAGCAACCACAGATCAATAATAATTGATAACTCATCAAAAGAAATTTGGGGTAAAAACCAACCAGAATCCATACCAGATGTGGCTCTTGACCTCCCCAGCCTTCTGCCACCTCGACCTCTTCTTTGAGTAGCGGCAGATCCATCTATACACTCACAACATATCAGAATGGATGCTTTTCCAGGGAATATTAAAATAAGTACAGGGATTGTAAAACATGACACCCACCTCCTTCATACTCGAGCTCAGTTGACACCTTCACCTGATCAGCTGGTAATGGTAGTTGGTACCTACAGTAAAAACACCAAATGAAAGGCAACAGAAAATGAATTTTTAAGCTTGTCCTAACAATCTTTTAAAAGATATCTAAGGATTATGCTTTTATATCATAAAACTCGGAGCTTACACCTTAAGTTGCTTAGGCTTATACCTGGAAATAGTCTCACACAAGAAACCCAAAGAGCACTGATAACCAGGATTATTTGCAATTTTTGTATCAGATTGAATTTACAAGGAAACCCAAAAAGAACAAACCTTACGGGAAGTTCATAAAAAATGTCCTCTACCCAAAAAACCACATAACCGCTAGAAATGGGAAGAAAGATTAAACAACTCACCCAATATTTGTGGTATCCAACTCCTTTTTGGAGAGCTTAATTGTTATCATTGAAACTTTCCTTGTGGTTTCCAGACTGGATCAAAAGCAAACATGGTCACGACAGCCACCACTATTGTCATGCTCAAGTAATCTTGAGACATGAAATAATTTTAATTCAGGACCATAAACATTTTAGTTTCTTTCACACAGTGAAATTAAAGTATTCTTACGTCTGGAGGCCTTCCTCTAGGGGTTCCCATGTGTCAGTTATGTCAGTGGATTGGATTGATGTAATTTGGTGAAGACTAACAATTCTCCTCTGAAATACAAAAGGTATAATGTCTAAAGATTAGTACAAGGAATTAATAGTAATTGAAAACTTAGAGAAGCATAAAAAGAGAAAACCTTAATTAATTCCACAATTGTAACAGTTTTATTGATAGCTCTCCCCATTGCCTTGAACAAAATTTCATCTGAACCCTTCTCCTATAATTCAATAGTATAAATCACCCCATAAGCTAAATTCGAGACATAAAATATGTCCACCAATTATGTAGGCAAGAAATAATAATGCAAATAGCCATTACAAGTCATGATGATGCGAAGGTAAAACATTCGCAGAAAGGAGGTTGAAAGAGTAACAGAAATTCAAACAGGAAGTTGAGAAAAAAATTCAATACTCAGAAATCATGCAAAAGCTACTTACTTCCTCGGAACAAAAACTAATAAAGAATAAAAAATCCTATGCAAGTTTACAATCCATTAAAGAACAAAGCTGCATAACTGCATTCTTTATTAAAAAATAAAAAACTCAAACAGTATTGAGAATATCTTGTATTGTCAATGAAATATCTATCGCATGACCCCTAAAGCTTCTTCTCCTCATTATGTTTACAAGTTTAAAATTATATGGATAGGTTAGAACGTCCTTGAGGTATCATACAAAAGCATTGAATTTTCTGGAGGATTCCACATTTTTTCCATTTGATAGGAAAACAAAATTGAAAAACACAACAGTAGTAATTATACAGCAGAAATAATTTAGGTCAAAAGTCATAGCACTAAGCCATGCTCCAAGATACTGCTACAGGATTGCATCATCATATTTCTTCACAATCAAGTTCCTCAGTAATCTAAATCCTCAAAATAGCATGTCTATCACTGATTGTAGCTGCTATTCATACTAATAGCATAATCCACTCAAAATATTTTGAATTACATCCTAGAAGTATAGAATGTATAAATAACACACTGGAATAACAGCAGAGAAATGACTCTCATAAACTGTATTTATAAATTGACCAATTAATTTAAACTCATTTCCACACGTAAAATAAATTTAAAAAAAAAAAAATCATATCACAAATTACAGACTTATTTTTTTCTTTTGAAGCACACATGTTATGCAAAAATTATACATCTATACACCTGAAGCAGACTCATCGCATAAGTGATATAGCTCCGCATTCTTCCCTGGCTTGTAATACGTATCTCATTCTCATCAATTGGTGTTTCCACCTTTGGTTTCTCCACCTTCTGGTACCGATCCATGCTCTGCAAAATACAAAAATTAAAATAAAATAAAACAAAACAAAACAAAATAAAAAATCACACAAAATGAATCCAATGCTGAAGAAAGAAGACTACAAAACCATTAGTCAATCAACTAATTAAGCGAAAAACGGGATAACTAGAAATTTGCTCGTCAAAAGAATAAAAAACAGTTGAATACTAGATCCGCAAATAATGTTTGAAATAGATTTAGTAATATTAGTCTGAATTCATGAAGTGAATTCGGAATTTACCTTGTAGATATACGGGAAAAGGATAAGATAATGCTCCCGCTAAGAAAAAGCCCTCTTCTCCGGCTTTGTTTCTTCGTTAAGCGCTGACCGTTTACTCCGAACTTCGAATCAATATATATATTGCGGTTTGCGTGGTGCCCTAGTCCTATTTAGCCGGTTGAACCAGTTACTAATATAAAAATTTCCATTATTGATCCCTAATCTAATTTTTTAGTTTCCTGTTGGTCCTCTACTTGTGAAATGAAGCAAGTATTAAGTTTCCAAGTTGGTGCAACCAAACTTGTTTACATTGACCAATTTGGGGATGATTGAAACATCACCACGTAGATTCTCGCACTGTTCTTTTATATTTTGATTACATCCTCTTATGGCAATCACCTCATTACTATTTTAGACCTATAGTTTGTACTCTGGGCATAAAAGCCGTTGCCGCATTATAGCAAGGGAATCATCTCGATGCCATGTGGTTGTCCAAGTGTGCCGAAAATCAGTATGTGACACTTTGAACTAGGATTTATTAAAAAAAATAAAAAAGAATCTTATGTATCAACCTACTGCAGAAAAAAATCATCGTCCCGTGACTCCTGTGCCTCCATCTCTAACATTAGTCCACAAAAACTGTTCAAATCAACTCCTTGGCTGGTGGAAATTATTATGGGTACTTAACATCCCAAGCAAGGTTAATGAATCATGTGAAAGCTTTCTTGGGTATTCTACTAAGATGTGGGCTGGAGAAAGAAAGCATACTCCATGCTCTGTTTCAAGATATCAGAAGACTAGTTATAAGGACGAGATGGGTGGAGCTATTTGTCATGGAATTCATTCGTATTTGAGGGCACTGGAATCGGATTGTTGAAATGCTGTAATAGTTGATATGGAACTGCACACCCATGCTCTAGTTGATGGTGTAGCTCGTGGTATCCAGTGGCGGATTCAGAAAAAAATTCAACACGGGTTAATATGTATAAAAAAAAAATTATTGTACATAGAAAAATAAATTTTTACTTAAAATTTTTTTTTAATGAACATTTGGGCCGAAGGAACAGGTTGTAGCATGGCCCAGCCCGTCCCTGGATCCGCCTATGGTGGAATCCAAGAGTTCATGACCAATATTTGAAGGGAAGTAAACTAAGCAGCCCATGCTCTTGCTAAGCAAACTTTTATATCTTAGCGGTCTATTGGGTATGTCTTTTACTTTTCCTTTTACTTTTACTTTAGTTTCATGTAGAGAAGTTTTCGAAAGCAACTACTTTAATTTTTATTCAAAAACTAATTTTTAAATGACTTTCATATTTCAGAAGTGTTTTTAGTGAAAATCGTCTTGGACCAACATTTTCTAAAACTTCTTCCAACTAGAACAAGCAATTTTATAAAATTCGTCAAATGGGTCCAAAAGCAATATGATGTACAACAAGCACTTTCTCTTGAAAGCTGTTTTTGAATTTTTAAAAATTTTGCCAGACAAGTCCAAAGTAATGTTTGGTTGGATGATCCTCAATAGTTTTATAGCTAGCTCGACCCACCCCAATACACTAACCAATTAATTAAAGGTGTAAATTGTAAAGAAAGTAGAATTTTTTACTTGTGGGGCCAGACAAATTTATTTTCTATTTATACCCTCAACAGATTGCACAAAAGGGAAAAAAATATAAAATCATTTTACAGTTACTTAACACACATTTATAATTTTCTAATGGTATAGACCGTACAATTTGATTCATATAGTTTCTTAATTTATCGAAATCAAATCTGAATTGTTTCCAAGCTGTTCGACTTAAAATTGAAACATCGTTTTAAATCAACAGTTTAAAAATCACAATTTTAATCAGATTTTATGAGTTGGCATTTTTTTATTAAATAATGTTATTCCTAGTCACTTATTACGACAGTCACGTTATGTGGCATATACATGAAAGGTGATTATTTGATGTATTAATGTAGCAATTTTTCATTGACTCGTGCATCAAATAGTCACATATCATGTGCATGTCACGTAGGGTGATGTCGTAGTGAACAATTGCGAATAATATTATTCTTTTTTATTCATCTCAAGTGCATGCTGGGAAGTTATTAGATTAAAGCAATTATAAATTATGGATTCTACTAAGTCCTTATTTATTTCTCATTATTTGTCCATTACAATGAAAAATATGATCGTTATCCATCAAATCAAGCCATTATATTTGATTTCCTATCTCTTGTGTGAGACCAGTAACAACTATATTTTTGATTCTCATTCTTACATTAACGTAACTCAAACAGGGCCTAAATGTGACTAATATGAGTAAATAGTAATTTCAAATTCTACATATGCTTGGAATCCAAATTTTGATAATTAAGTAACTCTATTTAACACTGTTGATATTTCAGTTGACGTCTTGAAAAATATTGTACAGCTGGACAACTCGGTGATCAACATTCTTTTCTCTCCAAGTCTTGCATGAGTGGGAATATAGTATGCACGTGCTTGATGTGAGCCGCACAACGTATAGGACCTGTTCGATTTTTTCATCCAAAAAATTAATTTTTTTATCGTTATTTTATTATTCCAACCGTCATATATGACTTTTTCTCTCATAGCTAGACCCTACTTTTTTCCTAACGATAAAAAAATCAATTCTCAAAATCACTCACAAACATACTTATATTGTTTAAAATTGATTAACTTGTTGTTCACCCAATAATTTATCAACATACCATTTTAAATAAACAAATATAACTTTTGTCTCACAAAAGTAAAATGATGTGTCAATAAATTATTGATGGACAGACAGTATATCTCAACTCCATCGAAAACAACGGCATCATCGATGGTTGGATTTTCGAAAAACTGTGTGTGCCAGTGCTTATTGTTTTGTATTCTTTCTTCAAATTCTTGAAACACGTCATCAGCTTTCCAGGAAAAACATTTTCTGTTTCACTTTCTTTTGTCCTTCATTCCTCGTATATGCGTTTATACATACACTACCAAAAATATATATACATATTTGCACCCCCATTTACCCATCCACGGCACCCAACCCCCCTATATAAAGAGGACCGCCTTTCCTCTCCATTTACTCTTAGCCCCTCAACCCAAGTCTGCTTATAGTGTGTTATTGTGTGCATTACTGTTGAACACCAGATTTCTTATTTTTCTTGAATATATACAGGGAAGAAGAGTTGAAAATGCTGGTCTCGGTATTTATTGCACTATTCCTACCGTGCGCCGGCATGACAGCAGTGTTTCTAGTTTACACGTGTTTGCTATGGTACGCCACGGATTCCGACAATGACCAGGGGTTCCAGTCACCGGTAAAGCCCAGCCGTGAGGAGGGCCTTTCCGCCTCTGATCTTGAAAAGCTTCCGAAAGTCACCGGTAAAGACTTGGTTTTGGGCACCGATTGCGCGGTGTGTTTGGACGATATTGAAAGTGACCACCCGGCTAGATTGATTCCCGGTTGCAACCATGGATTTCATCTACAATGCGCCGATACTTGGCTGTCTAAGCACCCTGTTTGCCCTGTTTGTCGGGCCAAGCTTGAGCCCGAACTCTTCAATCCACCTGAGACCAATCCATGCTAATAAAGTAATAAATTCAATTTTTATTGGTACTTGTATTTTTTTCATTTTTACTTTCAATATTTGTTTTTTTATTTGGATGACCATTAGATATGTATTATTTGTAAATACTAATTAATATTGCAAGTTTGGGCTTTGGCTAAGATTAAAAAGTTCATTTGTAAAGAAAATTACTTATAAAATATAGCTGTACTTAATTCACTTGACACTCCTTGTTTGAGTTAGTAATGCATGTGCGTTGTCCCCCGGGGTGTAGCCCAGCGATGCAAAAAATAGGAGTGTGGTTATCTCATGGCTTACTGATAATCGCAGTATGGAGGTTCAATTCCTGAAATATGGAATTTGACTTCTTGTAGGTGCAATATATAGACAGCTCTTGTTCTTTAACCTATTGGGGCACATCTTGCAATTTACCTCCTTCACAAAGTTCTAAAAACGGGGCGGTGGGGATTCTCAAAGTTGGGGTTCAACCTTTTATTATTATTATTAGTAATGCATGTGCGTTATTATGTGGGTGGGGACGGGAGATTTGATGGTGACATATTCTATAAACTTCTGATAAATAATCTGTGAATACTACGAAATGTGCTATTAAAATGACTAATAAAAATTATAGTGACCATTAGTATATTTAACCCTGGAGAGGTATATTCCAGAATCTTCTGATTTCTCAGTGCCAAATGCTAAAGGAATCTCTAGTTGCATAAATTACTGTTGTCTGCTGTTACTGATTCCAACTTATTGCCAGCCACTGTTTCAAACTGACGCGTAATTAATGTGCCCAGCAAATAATCTGCGTCTACAACACAAGTGTTCGGTCACCATTTTTCCATTTTATAAAGATTCGTAGCTTGACTGTGTTTGATTTAACAACGAACAAATAATTGATAGATTTTTATATTTTTCTTATTATTGTAGTCAGACATATCAAATTCAAGATTGACTTATTAGTCAGTTCCTAGAGTATTTTCAATTCATTTTATAGATTGCAGCATATGTGACATTGACTTCTAATGTATAGACTATTAAAACTAAAATTGGTCTTCAGTAGATTTTATTTACAACCCAATAAAACTTTCTCTGTATCTTTCATTTAATGGCTAAAGTAAAGATAAATAAAATGGAGACGAAATCCAATGCTCTAAAAATCAAAATAGTAACAAATAAATTGTTGAATCAACATGTCTAATCGAGTCTTCGAATATAGATGAAACTTTAGATATTGTCTTGTTTTACTACATCCACTTGATAGAGTCACTATCAGATAGAATTGTAGATGATTTTTCTAAACACCGTTTTATTTTGTTTTTCTAACATTCTTTAAAGCAATTCACACTACCATTGAAAATGATCTTAACACTTATATGAGTATAAACGTTTGTTTAGAAGAGATTTTTCTTTCCTTATAGATGATTGAGCACCTAGATCTTCTCTAATCGTAAAAGATTCAGTGTGAATATTTTCAAATTAATATGTTTGTTTCCTTAATAAATCTGTTGACCTATGCTTCAGCTATCTAAATTTGTTGTAGAGCATATGCTAAACATTCAAGGGGCCTCGGTTATTAACTCTAGCCCGCTGAATCCATTGGAGTTCATCATCTTCATTTGAACTTGTGTGAGCTTCATCAAAGGGCAAGGTTGATCAACTTGTATCTTATACGTGAAGACATATAAGATACAAGTTGTTGCTACCTGCTACCATATGTAAGATCGTATGAATTACAAGTTAGATACATGGTTCTTGCTTCCTAGGTGGTGCATATGCGGCCTCATGTGAGTTACATGTGATACAAATCGAAAGAAAAACATCTCGACTAAATATATATGCACTGTCGCGAAAATTCTTCTAGAAATCTTGATCTGAGCTCAAAAAAACTAACCAAACAAGCACCATCGAGACACGCTCGATCCAAAACTCTCAAACACTTTGGTTGGCCTCTTTACCCCTTTCAGTTGCTCTCTATTTAGTACCCACGGAGGACACAAGGTGGTGACTACAAGGGGGAAGAAATGATGAACAAAAATGTTGAAAATCTCTCTTAATTTCCCCCAAAATCGGTTGCCCCCTTCACTCTTCTCTCCAATGCTCGCGCACACACGCGGTTGAAATAATGGGAGGCAAATGGTATATAAAGCCAAACATTAGGTTACCAAATTGGGCTCGTTCAATCCACTTAAATGGGCTAAGTAACTAGACCACACAAACCTAAGAATGAAACCAATTCAAAGAAGGCCGATATACCACAACTAAAACCTAAGAACAATTGGGCCAAAAACCAAAGTGCACACACGCGGTTGAAATAATGGGAGGCAAATGGTATATAAAGCCAAACATTAGGTTACCAAATTGGGCTCGTTCAATCCACTTAAATGGGCTAAGTAACTAGACCACACAAACCTAAGAATGAAACCAATTCAAAGAAGGCCGATATACCACAACTAAAACCTAAGAACAATTGGGCCAAAAACCAAAGTGATAAAGTCGTTTTCGAGTCGAGTCGAGCATTGTGGTGTCGGTAAATTATCCGACGTCTGTTTTAAATCATCGTTCGGGATTTATTGAGCATCAAAACTCAACATACACGAATCGTGATTGTGCATCATTGTTGAGTTTTACATTAATGTTGACAGGTGTGATATATTGATAACTATATATTTTGTTCAATCTTACTATATGTACACTCCGATTTACATCCTAGCTTATAGAACTTGGCATGATCTCATATCATTTCACACAGTTAATCTAGCCGTTAGAAAACTACCACATAAACAATCTGGTAAGAGAGGTGTAAGATAAAATGTATAAATAGCTTAAATCCTATTTTGTTTCATATTCTAAACTAAATCAATTGAATATTGTATACTCCTTTAAATTAGATTGGTCATTTCATATCGTCTTATTCTAGATTAGATTAAATTAACAATTGAATAATTAACTTTTCGTCTATTTTTATTTGATTGACGACATCAGAATTTATTCATATTCCAGATTAATTGATAGTCGAATAATTTGTTTATCATTCTGTAATCTGTATACTCCCCTTTTCAATCCTCGTCCATAGTAAAGTTAGATTATCACATTTCTTTTCATACACATAAATATAAATATAAAGGGAATTACATAATTTACGTAAACTTTGTACTTTCTTTTTTAAATTTTCTGATTTGCAATAAATTTTAATTTAACACTGAAATGGAATATATATTTTCAATATCCAATGTATATTTCGGTAAACACATACAACATAGATAAAATAGATTAACGTTTACGCTAGGTTTGGGCATTTTAACCGGTACTGAATCTCCCGAATTGAAACCGAACCAAAATCAAAGGTTCCGGTCCAATTTCTCGAAAAATAAATTAGGAACGAGAACCGAGAACCGCTAACCAACTGGGTTCGGTTCGATTCAATTCTTGGTTCTTGAACCAAAACCGTGGGTACTTAGTGGAACCGATTTTTATAAAAAAATTTATTTGTAATTTATAGGCTGAAAAAACATATAAAACCTAAAAATCCTAACTTTGATAGTAATTACTTTAAAACTTTAAACTCTAACCCTAAAAATAAGATTGGCACCTACTTTTTTACATCTCACCTTACATCAGATTGTTGTGTTTAAAAGGTTATTATGTGCTAATATTTACAATTTGAGCTTTTTACAAATCAAAAATTTCGAACAGGTTTTGGTTTAAGTTGATGAATCAAAGCGTTTATTCTTTGCAATTCAAGTTTTTTACTTCCTTGTATTGTTAATAAACTAGAGTGATTTTTTTAATTTTTCATAATGCGTCACAATTCAATTTGATATATTCATTGCTTGTGTTGTGTTATACCTTTTTGTTATCTTGAGTTTGTAATTCTCTTTTTAAATATATATATATATATATTTTTATTTTTTGTTCAAACAAAGTGAATTTAATACGTATGTGGACCGTAATTTTTTGATACTATATTAGTTACGTATTTAATTAATATTTTTATATCAGTTTGTTTTAAAAGTAGAAGAAGTATTGTTCATACTTAAATTATATGCCCAGTATGCTTCTCTTATAGATCGAATAAGATTTATTAAGAAAAATAATTTTTTTCAAGTTTTAATTTCATTTTTGATCTTTATTTTATTTTCTCCTATTTTTCGTGGTTTTTAGTATCTAATATTTTGCTTTTTGAAATTTTTTTTAACAGAATTTTCTTCATAGCGTATTAGGTATATGTACCAAAAAGGTTTATGTAAAATATTTATGAAATAAATGTATATAAAATGCTATGTGTAGATCCGAAACAGAACCGAAATCGACAATTCCAGTTTGGATTTGGTTCTAATATTTACAAAGACCCGAATAGTTCCATTTGCAAAATACCCGAAGCATAATGGATGATTCTGGGTATTGAAATATCCAGACCGATCCATCCGATGCCCAAACCTAGTTTACGCATAGATTTATTTTTAAATTTTAACTCAACTATTCATTATCATGATGATTGAATATATCGTACAATAGTTGACCATTTCCATTTCGTAGCATTATTGTGACATAATATATCTGTGTGATTTGCATTGAGAGGGTTAGAGTTGGCAATGCCTCATTGTCGTAGTCAAGACATACCTAATTGGAAGTGTCACTATGTCAGGGTTATGAAAAGCTGCAACGTCCTTACATCATTTGAACTTCATGACTATATCAGTTGGTCAACTCTATGTGTTTAGCGGATGGTGAATTCTATTTGGTACGTATGAGAATTGTTTATTTTACGCACTTAGGCTCCAATTGTGGTACATAGATATGACACATACCATAAAAAATGGTTTTCGACAGATGTAAGTTGGTCTGATAGTAGTTATATAAAGCTTATCCATTTGATATGTTCTAGATTACTATTCGCTAATGATGAAAGAAGTATCATGGATATGAGAGATTACTCAAACTACAATACCCTTACACTTTTTATGCAACAATTTTGCTAATGAAAATATTTTTTGGCGATTCTTTGTACCCTTGTCTCGAGAAAGTCTCGTCTATTTTCGTTCCCATTTTTCCCTTTGTAATTGTTTGTTGGGTAGTCTAGCACGATAAAATAGTAATCTTCCTAAAAATTAAATAGGGTTTGGCCACCAATATCACATATATAATAATCCATGACAAACAAAGACAAAGTAAATTATACAAACAGA